AGGCCAGCGGGATAGGGTGGATTTCGTCTCCTCTTCTTGCACCACTGCCACCTTCTCGGGAGCCCCTTCACCGCCCTCAGCCGTCGGCACCTCGACAAGTGCGGGATCTGGCTGCGCAATGACCTCCGCCTGCTTCTCCGCTGCAGCCGGATCAGTCATCTCGTGCCACAGTGGGTGACAGGTGGGATCGTAGTCGGGCAGGGCGTAGCGCTGTTGCATGTACTCGGGTTTCACGCGGGCCAACACCTCGGGGATGTAGAGTTCCGGCTCCTGTAGGTACTCTACGCGAACCTGTGTACAAAAAGGCGGAAAAAGGGTAACAGAATTAGCGGGGGGAGGAAGTTACGCAACACCGATCAACCGCGGCAAACGCAGCGGGAGACTGTTTCACGCAAGAGGGTGCGAATCTTCAGAGTATGTGCTTTAGGCCTGTTTAAATCTCGTTGTGTACTTATACCTCCCACCACACAGGAGTAGCTGTCACAGGAGTGTTATGGCCCTGCTTGATAGCGCACACATGTGACTTAGCACGCTCCATTTAGGCGGAGGGAGTGAAGGGGGGGCATTAGAAGTACATGCGGCTGTCTAAAGACTGGAGCTGCCTGTCACAACTTGGTTGAGAGGAACAATCAGCTGCGTTTTCCTCCCCCCGCTCGCCAATTCAGATGAATTAGCGGCGAAGATGAAGATAGCTACGAAGGCATTCAGGTAAAGCCGAAAGCTGGTTGGCTATGACGGCCGGATGGATGGATGGGGAGTGGGATGAATAATAGACCATAGAATGGAAGCATGACATCGAAGGACCGCGTTGTCAGACGATCACCCGAAAGGCAGTTAGTTTGCCGTACGCTACCAGATGATAAGATCACGATTGGAGTTGGCAGAGTTGGCAATAAATTGTCCGCATTGCTGGACAGCCCATTGGCCATCGCTACTGCCTACACACAAAAATAGCCAACTCCGCACAAAACGTCAGTGCTAAGAGAGCCGATTACAAACCCCCTTTAAGGTATGGGGCCTGTCAAAGTGAGTAAAAAAGCTTTGGCGTGTTGTTTTCGCTTTCCATGACACACAAATGCGAATCTCAACGTATAGGTCTGTCAAATATTCTCTGAGTGGAGGAATGTAAAGAGCCCACATACGGACAGTCCCTAGGTTGCTATCGTTCAGGAGTTAGTAAAAGTTGACCCAAATGTGACTAAACACGCGGTTGCCGGTGGGGGCTAGAGCGTTTATTGTACAAATGCCTTCCCCTTGCTGGCAGGAGTTCAAATCCTACCAAGTTCTTGATAAGTGGGTCAAATAAATTATTTAAATCTGCATAAACAACCCTATTAAGTAGGTGTGCTTGGCAATCATCTGGAGGATCCTAAATTGATTGCTTAAATATATCCTGCTTACTGCATCAGAATTGGTGGGTTCCATACGTTGCAGTAAGTGAATCTCAAAAGCCTCCAAGACTTCTTACTTTCAGTAATTTATGACTGTGACTTGGTGTCGGCTTCTGTTTCGCCCAGTTGAAAAAGTGTACCGGGCCATTTTCATCCTGGGTTGCTGCATGTTCCCGCAAATCTACTTCAAGTAGGTCAAATATCCATTCTCCAGCAGTGTATTTTTAGCTAATTTACGTAATCTGTTAGACGCACTACCACGTGACAATATCTATCCGTATTTTCACAACACATAATTGGTCATTTGGAGGCCGGGCACTGCGGCGATCGACCAATCTAAACAGTTTGTTGTCCTGGCCAATCACTCTGAATCTGCCGCGGCTTAAAAAAACAACAATTGCATTAAGGCTGGCAATGATTTCACGTGTAAATACGGCCAGGAGATCGATATGGCTGGACGAGGGTACACGATTAACTGCTTAGCATAAGCGGCAGGTTTTTTTTAAGGTAACCAGCAACAGATTATGAATTTTACAGTAGATTGCCTAATTAATTAAATTTCATAAACTTCACAAGAAAATTCCTGTTGCGCACCATCCACCCGGGATGCGTCCCCGAAAGTCTTACAGCAGCAAAGTAACGACCGAGTTTAAAAGACGAA